ATAAATGACTATGATAAAAACTATCGAGAACAAAGAAAATATTAATATTAATGAATGTTTCAGAATTTCGATACATTTATTCGGACAAATAGATATAAAAGAAAAAATTAGGTATCTCAAATAGTGTCTAGTATCTATAATGAAATTTTCAACTGTATGAGATGCATCGCGGCTGAAGAAGAAAATTCTCCAAGTGATGAATTGCTTTTGAATCGAGACTATATGCATAATGTAGAACTAAATGAACGATGAATATATTGAAAACAGTTCGTGTCCTTAGCTTATTGCTGTGGAGGAACTGCGCTTTTTGGGTATTTTTTTAAATGAATGCTACGAGAACAGAAGAACTGATTTTTGAATTTCGCCCTGAAACTTTGCATAAAAATACGTCTCAAGAAGAAAATTTTTTTTTTGTGACTGTGTCTATCCTAAGATATAACTATGGTTATAGCGTGTCTTTTACATCGTTCATATAAATTGACACATTTGATGTTCTTATTTCAAGATAGAAGCAAATCAAAAGATCTGTGAGGTCTGTCTCTATGCAAAATTTCAAGTCGAGATTCGAAAATTAGTTTTTCTCTTACCACACCGCTCATTTTAAAAATCTCATCGAATTTCAGTATCTCCACGGCAATAAACTAAGAACCCGAACCCTTTTCAGGTTACTCATAGCTCATTTGAGTATACATGTTACACATAGTCTTAACTCAAAATCGATTTCTCAGTTACAGAATAGTCCTCATGAGAAAGAAGGAAGGTGACAATAAGAAAGGTCATTTTTATCCTTGCAATGCTGTCACTATTTCCTACAAAGAAATATTGGAAGATTTTAAGTCTATGATAACTTGTGTTGTATTCTTCGAAATCTATCTGCCCTGAAACTTTGAAATTTTTCTGACAAGCCGTTCTTTAAGAACACTGTAAGGGAAGCTTATATTAAATATTCGTAAACTTGAATACTCTGTTCGAAAACTTACATCGGATGGTTCTGGTCCTTGTGTAGCAATCATAGCTGATTTAATTAATTGAATAAGTTTAGTATTTTCAAATTTACAACTATGCATGTCATGATAAAATTGTTGATTTAATTCATTTCGTTTAGCATATAATGGATTATTAACTTGTGCACCTTCTTCAACTCCATGAATTTCTGTACGAAATGATTGCATAGCAGTAAATAATTTATCAGTTAAATATCTTGAACGTGCTTCATCTGTAAGTAATAATTGTGTATAATCATCAATACCTAAATGACGAAATTGTTGTTCAACATTGCTAAGTTTTCCACGTAAATCTGTAATAAGACGTGGTAAAGCTTGTTTAATATTTCGAACAAGTTCATGAGTTAGAAATCTTGCTAATGATGGACAACCACGTCGTTCAATTGGTACGGATTGAAATTTTGATGATTTTGAAAAAAATTGTTCTTCTTTACGAAGTGCTTCACCTAAAATAATAATTATTTATTAAAATACATTAAAAAATTCTTTGATTTATATATATATATACGTACTTAATTCAATATTATTATCAATATCTTCTTGTGTACGACATTTAACCATTGAATAACCATGTTTTAATGGAATACGTTTATTATCAAATACTTCTAATAATTTTTGTTCAGCTCCACGATCAACAAGATCAATTTTTGTTAAAACACCAACTAACATTTTATTTTCATAGAAAAAAAGACAAAAATTTGAAATAAAAAACAAAAACAAAATTTTCTTTTACTTGTTCGTTCACCATCCGGATCGAATATTTTAGCATATTTAATAGCTGCTGATGTTTCAATATCATTACAAGCTTGAATAATAGCAAGAATAATTGTTGATGATTTTTGAAGATATTCTTGTATTAATTCTTCAATTATATTAACTGATGCACTATCTTGATGTTTTGATGTTACTTGAATTATTCCTGGTAGATCAATTAATGTTAAATTTGGTAACCAAGGTGCTTGAACATTAAGTAAAAGAACTTGTTTTGATATTTGATCACGATTATTTGTTAAACGATTTTGTTCATGATTTATATATTGACCAATATCATTTGCATTTGGTATATTATCTCGTATGAGACGACCAGAACATTCAAGACTTGCATGCCATGTTGATGAACGACGCATACGAAGTTCAAGAGGACATTTTGTTGTCATATGTTGACCACCACGAGGTAGAGGAATACTAGATAAAGCTTCTAGCACACTACTTTTACCTGAAATATAATAAATTTAAAAATGATATATTTCATGAAATAATATAAAAACAAACCTGAACTTTGTTCACCGATAACAACAATTGCTGGTACATCAATTGTTGTATCAATATCAGCAATTCGATTTCGAACTTGAATTAGAAAAAATAATAAAATATATATATATATATTTTTTTTTTGTATTTTGAAAAGAGATTTACTTTGATCAATTGTTGTAAGTAAAGGAACAATCTCTTCATCATAACTTTCATTAAGAGCTAATGATGGATGATCGCTTTTAGAAACAGACGCAGTCGATGTTCGATGTCGAGTAGACATATTTTATTGAATAAATAAATGATTAGTCTTGCGGATAAAAAACAGCTTATTGCAAATGATTCATTATGAGACCTTGAAAACAGCTATTGGCTAGATATTTCATATTTCCATGCGATGTCGCTACTCGCTGATATTATAAAACATTTATTCAATCAAACGAATTCTTTTCGGTGGTCAGAATTTCGATTCGAGGAATTTTCGGTCTGAACCCGAATTCTCCTCATTAATCCTCATAAAAGACCTTATTTCTATGAATACTTAGTACACTCCATAGTGCTTAGTGATGTGCATTTTTTATTAAAAAGTATTGATAAGCTGCACGCATTTAGATCAAATTACAGTCCTATGATTCCGTTCAGTGGGATAGCGTAGTGCTAAGGAGTATGAATTCAGATCATACTATAGTTGTAACGTTTTGATCAGCAAATTGTATTGCGAGAGATGCAATTATGTGTTAGTAGACGAAGAGTACTATATCAATTTCGATTCTTCCGTTGAAGCCATCAGTTATTAGATTACTGAACAAACTACTTAGAAATTCATAATATTACTAAAGAGCAAGTATGGATATGTACTCGTAATCGATAAACTGATGAATGGGCTTTTATCGAACTTCCTACAGTGTGTTAAAATGAGATGTCAAGATATATCTCAAAAATGTATTTACATGTAACAAAAAGCTCAAAAAATTGGCAGCATTGATTAGTTAAAATTGAATCAGAGGGGCATCATTTAGTAGTGCTATTGAGCACTTCACTTTTTACATTGGCACTTATTACACACAAGTAATATGTACCTCGAAGGACCACACCACTTCTGATAAGATCAAAAGTGACTGCTGAGCACCACATTTTGTTGAAAATGTATACCGCTAAGCAGTACAAAGTGTACTAACTTTTAATAGGATTTCGAATTTTTAGCGAAGTTAACGAGAGGAATTTGAGTCTGAGCTGAAACTTATGTAATTCAACTTTCTTCTTATATATATAACAAATTTAAATTTAACGAAAACAATTTTCTTTTGTAATTAAAGACATTTTTTCTACTTTCAAGTTTTCAAGTTTTTTTAACGATGAAAATTATTTGTTTTTATTAAAACCTTACATTCCATTTTATCCAAAACAAATATATAGCACAACAAAAGAACATTGTTATTAATCACAAATGCTAAAACAACTATTTTCAAGAGTTCACATATTGTTCGAAAAGCTTTAAATACAACTCGTCTAAACATCTGTTAGATATATCTATAATATTGGTCATCAAATCCATAGAAAGGTCTCCAAACAAAATTTGACGATTTATATTTTTTAAATCTCAAAGAGAGGTGTAAACCGATGCATTGGTCAGTGATTGAAAACTTTCGATGATTTTTTCTTAGTTTCGAGAACTTTTGAAATGGAAAAGAAAGCAAATGACAGTGGCAAACGGACTGATAAGAAACTCAATAAAAAAAGTCTCCTAAAATTAATTATTAACGTCAAAAATCTTCATAACTCTAGTATCTATTTTACATATTGCGGCGCGACAATAGTTGTCTTATTTTTAAATTTTGTCATCTGCAGCAATTCAGATGATTGGTTTATATCTCTAATTTCAATTAAATGTTACTGATAAGCATAATTTAAATACGTTACTAAAGTAACGATAGATAATTAATTATGATTTACTTCTATGATGACTATAAATTTTTAAGTACGTAGTAATGAATAATACAAATCAATTGATTATCTTATATTAGGATTTGCTAATTGTTTTACTATTTTCTAGTTCATTTGAATATATATAAGAAATTATATGTTCTCGACTAGAAATGTGTAAGACCAACTTTACTCCCGATCCTGGTCACCGAGACCAAGACTACGAGAAAAAAGTTATTCCAACCTGACCTAAAGATTACAATCAATTATTTGATAGTCTTACGCGAATTATTTTATAAATCATATCCATCAAAAACATAATTCAAGAGAAAATGACTCAAAAAAGTTCTAATCATCCAATAAATTAATCAAAAAACAAAACGAATATTAAAGAAGTTTTTTAATTCTATAATAGTTTCCTTTAGATCGGAGCCAAAAAAAAAAACTTGATCCCTTACATCTCTATTCTCGACTAATTGATTGATTTAAAGTTTTCAAAAGTTCAGCTTTTTTTATATATTTTCCTTTTCACAGTCATTAATATATATTATTCGATTATCATTTCATTCATACATTAAATATTCTAATTCGCTATTTCATATAATTATTTAATTATATTCACAAAGAAAAGAAATGTTGCTTTAATTTTGTCAGTACAAAAAAAACAAACGAAACGAGAAATAAGACAAACAAAAAAAAAGAAAAAAAAAAGTGAAGAATTATTGAAAAAAAAATATGTTGCAAATAATCGTTCAAAAGCGCGCACACACACACACACACACACACACAAACACACACACACACATACAAATGCCTTATAGTTCACTCTTTGCTACCGGTACATGTTGTTGCATATAATGTGCCCTGATAAGCAATTCCATTTAATTCAATGGAAAGTTGAATTGATTTTTCATTTGATTGTTGTTGAAGATTATTCTCTAAACGAGAGAAGAATCAAAAAGAAAAATATTATTTCAAATAAATAAAACTAAATTAAATTGAATTACCTTTTGCAATTATATTTAATTTACTAACTTGTGATAATAATGATGAATTATTTGTTGTTGAAGGTGTAAAACAATTTGGATGAATTAAATTATTATTTATTGTTGAAACAAATTTTTTTGCATTATCATCATTTTGTTTAGATAAAAATGATGGTGAAATACTTCGTTTTATTATTGATGGAGATGTTAAATGATGATGATGATCATCAAATGAAGATATTCGTGAAGTTGTTGATGTTGTTTCATTAACATCCCGCGATGATGATGATGATGCTGCGGCTGCAGCTGCAAGAAAAAATGGATGAGATAATGCAGCAGCCATAGCAGCATGATTTGAATCTACTAAAATAAAACAAATATATATATATATATATGTATATTATTGAAAAAATCTCCTATGAAAATAGCTCTTTACATGGTCTGTGTGCAAGTGGACTAGCAAGAAAAGAATTTGCTGTTGCTGCTGTTGTTGTTGTTGGTGGTGGTGGTGGAGGCATGATTTGTGGCGGTGATGAATATTCAAATGTATATGATGGTCGACGACCTTCACGTCGATTTCCTTCTATTATAAAGATTAATAAATGATATATTGTTATCTAGAAAATGTCTGTTCTATATTACCAATAGCTGCTTGTAATTCACTTGGTGAACTTAATTGTAATTTTTCACATTCATATGGATATAAATATTTCATATATCTTAAGAAATAATAATAAAAACAAATCAAAACTATATTATATCTTTCGTATGATGAATTAAAAGAAAGCAATACAAAAGAAAATCTAGACTATAAACAAATTGATTTCTCATCATATATGTTCAAGACATTGACATATGATAAATGATAGACAACATATGCGAGCGAACGAGAGAAAGAGAGAAAGAAAGACTCTCGATGTTAATCAGGTTTTATTAGTCCAACACGTTATATATGTCAACACTCGAAAAAAAATATTTATACATACTGTGTACGTAGAGTAAATGCAGCACTAGTAATCGAACTTGGTAAATTAAGGCCTTTCGTCACTTCACGCCATAATTTCTTGTTAATGACTTCAACTAAACCGCCTTTACCAACAACCAAACGAAATAATTCATCTTAATTTAAAAAACCAAAAAATATTTTTTTTTTGTTTTTGTAGTATAAAATGAAATATGTACTTACATAAATCAAGTACATGTTTAGCCATAATAGGTATTCTATTAACCGGAGTACCTTTTCAATAAAAAATAAACAAAGATGAATTCTTATTGAATTATTTTATATTGAATACTAACCACGTTTTTGCATGAATGCAAATAAATCATCAAGAAATTCTTTACGTTTTGGTTCGTCGGATAATTCATAGAGCTAGAAAAAAGAACGACTTTTTTCATTAGACTAATTCACTACAAGACAGGAAATTTATCAATAATTTGCTTCTCCTCCCGAAGAATTATTCTAATCGAGCGTATATATATATACAACGATGATTTGTTTATTTGTCTCTATTAAGAAAAAAGAAAGACTATATTCTCTGTCTCTCTTAGCTATAACTTGTAATTGTGATCGATGAAGCTTTTCAAGATATACATATACAAGTGATCGACCGGCTTTCTGCTCGATTTGATCGACCTTCTTATTGATAAGAAGAAGAAGAAGAAGAAGAAGAAGAAGAAAAAGAAAAAGAAATAGAGCGAAGTTCATCGTTTTAATATTCTTTTTGACTATAAAACAAAAATCGTGCCTTACATATTGGATAAGACTGATATAGAATATATATATATATATAAAACTATGCTTTTTAAGCTGATTTTATTTTAATAATAATGATTGACAGCAGCTGGAAATTCTCATTTTTATTTCTTAAGTGAAATAGAATAGTCCATAAAAAGAAATCTTTGTCTTTAAGATGTTCATTTATTTTCTCGTCAACCATCTGCCTCTAAACAATGCAATTAGTAGCAAATAATCGATATTGCCGCGAGCTGTGCTGTTTCTTTTGCGACATTCTGTGTATATATATATATATCTTTTGATGATGATCAAGCATTTGCCTTTGAATCAAAATATGGAAACACACACTAATTGTTGATCCATCTCGTTTGTACGCATATAAAACAAAACATATAATAAGCCCATCAATAACCGAAAGATTCTTCACATATTTATAAATGAGCAAGCTAATGTGTCTTTTGCTATGAAAGCAATTAGTCGACATGTATGTGAGACTGACATGGATATATACATATTCTTTTTCTTTTTTTTTTTTCTTTTTGCTTTAATGTGAACGATAAATTGATCATCAGACACAACAAGCCAAAAACTGACTGGCCTTAATTGAAAGAAAATTGTAGTAAGGAAAAGAAAAGAAAAGAAAAGAAATTAGTCTTATAAGATAGGTACAAACGAAACAACAGCTGCATGAATATAAACGTTTATTGATGGATAAAAATAGACCAATAATTCTTCTTTATAATTATATAAACCTGATCAAGAAAGGAAAAAAAAATACCAACAGAAATGTCAGTCAAGCTATATTGATCACAATATCTGATTGTAATTTACTTAGCTAAAAGAGAATGAAAACAGACACATTATAACATTTCTTCTAACCTTCAACTTGATAATTATTTTTCGATCTAATCAACTGAAATAATGTTTGTATGTTGATATGTCAGAATACCAACAACACAAAAGAAAAAAAAAAAAAAAAAGAAGAAAAGAACGCTCTATTCTCATTCGATATTAATGTTGAGAAAGAATTTTAAATAATCAATCTTTTTTATTCTTGCTCTAATTACCTAATCAATAAATAATAAGCAATATTTGCGTGTCTATTCATACAGATGGTCAACGTTCTCTTCTTTATTCAGATTAATATATATGTATATTCTTTTGTCTTT